ATTTGGGAATAAAACCCTCTGGTCTGAACCCAGCGGGGGATTTAGTTCCGAATTAGTATGAAGAGGGTGGGTCTGCCTCCCTACCTCCAGTTCATTCAGCTGAGGTGGCTGTTGCTATATTATTATGCTTAATAGCATCACTTGGAATGTAAACAGGGACGTGTGAATCCTGCCCAATCCATACGAAGGAAGAGGGAGCAGAAACGTGTGCAAATACTGATGGGCGTAGCCAAGGGTGGGCAGGGAGAGGCAGCTGCCCCACCCCATCAGTCAATACAAATCAATAAAAATGCATAGCTAACTGAGGTTCTGTTCCCCCCCCCCCCGCCCCCAGGACTCCACCAACAAAAATCCTGGCTACGCCCATGACATCACTTTGGAGAAATGTACCTAAATGCAATAAAATAATTTGAAGGAGGAGAATAATAATAATGGTGGTTCTTTATTCAGATCAGAGAATTTTGTGCTTCAGAATCCGAAGGTTGCCGACTAATTTCAGTTGGGATCTTTCAACTTGTTAAAAAAAAACCTTGTCTGGATGCAAGGAGAGTCAGCTTCCCTAGGCTGATGACTAGCAGTAAAAGAGACCGCTCGTGTTAAAATCCCCTCTCCTGGGATGGGGGTGCAGGGATTTTTTGCTTCCCTTGTTTTATTTTCTTGGAACATAGTAGTCTACTGGTCCCTTGGGCTCAGTACCGTTGGCCATACCTATCCATTCTGAAGGAAATCAGCCCTGAGTGCTCACTGGAAGGACAGATCGTGAAGCTGAGGCTCCAATACTTTGGCCACCTCATGAGAAGAGAAGACTCCCTGGAAAAGACCCTGATGTTGGGAAAGATGGAGGGCACCAGGAGAAGGGGATGACAGAGGACGAGATGGTTGGACAGTGTTCTCAAAGCTACCAGCATGAGTTTGACCAAACTGCGGGAGGCAGTGGAAGACAGGAGTGCCTGGTGTACTCTGGTCCAGGGAGTCACGAAGAGTCGGACACGACTAACAACAATCATCGGCCATGGCTAACTGTGGCTTTCCAGGATGTTAGGCAGGAGTCGCTCACCCAGCCATCCCTGGAACTGGAGGGGATCGATCTTGAGACCCTCTGTATGCAATGCAGATGCTCCGCCACTGAGCTACGGCTCTTCCCCGTTGCTTTCCTCGGCCATCTGGAACACCAGAGTTATGAATGGTTTGGGAAATGTGAGAGTTTGCGGTGGGGGGGGGGCGCGGAGTGTGAGATCAGAGATGGGGAGGGAGGCTCCCCCTGCTCTGTAGCTTTCCGATGCCGGGGAGGCGCTCTTTCCCCGCACAACCGTCGTATTCTGGGCATAACTCTAGAGCCTGTTCCGTCTGTGACCATGCAGCCCCCTGGCTAACAGAACAGACTCGCGAGGGCTGGGCCTCGACCATGTGCATTTCCTAACAGCAAGGCCAATTTTTTGTTTGTTGGGTGGGTTGTAAACTGCTTTGGGGAGGGTTTACAATCAAGCGGTATATAAATTTTATGAAATAAATAAATTATATAGACATGGGCATAGCCAGGCTTTTATGGGGGGGGGCAGAACATCAGATTTGTGTTGATTTGTATTGATTTTGATTGATTGAGGGGGCAGCTGCCCCCGTCCCCGTCCCCCGCTAGGCCCATGGATACAGATCGCTGAAATATATATTCAATAAAATGTAAATGTAAAATATGTCAGATGTTTCCATAAACCTCCAGTAAAATTATTAATAGTCAGTAACTGTGGTGAGGGAGAGGAAATCCCCACACTGGCGGAAGAGAATCAGCACTTCTCAGAATGTGAGCAGTTGCAACAATGTTTGCTTTCCTCTGCCCTCCTCCTTCATTTTTCCTTTTGTGTCATGTCTGTTAGATCGTGAGCCTATGAACAGAGTTTCTCCTATACTTAATGTATGTTCAGCGCTTAATAAACGTAAAGTGGCTTATAAACGATTATAACGACGATTATTTCCGCGAGCGTAAAAGCAGGAGCCGTGAATGGAGACTATCTTATCCTCTGGATCCTCTACTCTTTACGCGGAAGTAAATGAATGGCCTTTGCTTCTAGGAAAAGTTTGGAATGAGACTGATTAATCGATTTGTGGTGTTATTTGTTAATTCCGTAGTGGGATTGCAGATCCTTGCGGATCCTTGATCCGCCACTCTCAAAACAGGACCCTGTCTTTCAAGCGCTCCATGGCAAACAGAAATCCTTTGAGTGAAGCTTTCCTCTTGACTCCATCTCTATAGGCTTGGGTCGAGCGAGGTGAACCTGGTGGACTTGTGCCTGTTTATGAGTTTCTTCATTCATTTAGCAGTATTTTTTATTATTACGTAATCAAGCATTAATTAATTATACAAACGTTGAAAGATAGGTGTATTTAAAGTGTCTAGGACTGTCTTCAGAAAAGCTCAAGCTCGACTTTAAGAAAGGCTTCAGGAAACCGCAGGAAGAGGTCAGATGCAACAGCCGGAGGCATTCCGAAGTTATCTCACATTTGTTAAGCAAGTCTGCATTTTCAATTCGCATGGGAGCAAGTTTATTTGCTGTCCATACTGGAGAGCTATTCCCTTGACCCAACTCTTCCCATTCACAGGCGTGTGCCTTGTGTTTGCTAGTCTCCTGTCCTGTGTCAGTTCTAACTACCCATTTTCCCACTTACCTCCATGTGAGTAGCAGGTCTTACATAGTGCTTACCCACCCAGAAGTGCCCGGGAAAACACACGAATGAAAATCCATATCCCACTAAACCGAGTGACAGCTTTGCAACTAATGCAGGCCCGCTCAGAATACTATTACTATTTAAAAAATAATAATAATAACAATACCAATAATAATAAAGGAGGCTTTTCCAGGCTTTTCCCACTCCACCCATTTTTTTGTTGACGCTTTGAGATTGGGGGAAGGGAGGAAGCCGCTTTTTTGCCGTAAAACTCTCTGCTTTCTTAACTGGATAAGGGACATTCAGCCCTGGAGCTCACTACTGCTGCTGCAGACCGGAATAGGGCTACTCTAAAGTTAGTGGCTCCTTGTCTGGCTCTCGCTAAACGTGCCCCGCTAGGAGGGAAAAAAGGGGGGGGGGGGACTTGCGTTGGCAAGTTGCACAACGAAACGATTTGCTTAGCCAAGAAGATCTTCCGTCCAAGTTGGGGTTGTGGGGAGGAGAGAAGCGAAGCGACGCTGTGCCTTTAAGGCTTGTGCGCTCAGCCTGAAATGGTGTGGGCCTCGCAGGTGTGTGCGCGGGGGGGGGTGAGAGAAGAGAAGAGGGGAGGCCCCCTTGATTGACAGTCCCAGCGAACTGGTCCTTCCAGCCGCCCCCACAAAAGTTTCTTTTCTCCGTCAGCCAGCGCTGCTGGGTGGTTGCCATGAAAACGGATTCTCTCCCGCCCCCCGCACTCCCCCGCGCCAAAAAGAGAAATTGAGAGTGTGTGTGCGCGGGGGGGGGGGGGCGCCCCTCCCCCAAGCAGCCGAGTGGAAAAACTGAATTGGGGAGATACATTCAGAATAAGGTGGGGCAGATATGTGGGCAGCAGTAAACTTTGGTTTGGTTTGCCCCGCCGCCCCCGGCCCCCCCTCACCAAGATCCCTCTTCCAGGGGAGTGAGAGAGACCGTGGTCTCATTGCTGCTTGTTTATCCCCAAGGGGAAGAGGGAGGCGGGCCTTTTTCTCATGAGATTTGGGAAACTCAGGAACTGTTCTGTCCCCCCCCCCCATCACACATACATGCTCTTCTTTCTCTTCCACCCCAAATGCTTTATTGCTCCCGCGTCCCAGGAGGCGGCTCATTCAGCCTTCTTCCTTCCAAGAAACCCACTCTCCAGTATCCCCTCCTTCAGTTTTACAAAGTTTGTTCTCTGTACCTTCATGAAGCGCACAGTGCATCCGCCTCTGCCAGTTTGCTCTGCGTTTCTCCCCAAGGATGCCAACTTTTCCCCCTGGCAGGGTTCCTGTGCGGCTCCCTCTAATTCAGTTGCATTTTCTTCTCTCTGTCTTTTTTTCTTTTTGGAAACTCAGAATGGAAAATGGTTTTTCCTTCTTCGTTCCTACCATCCTTCCTCTCCACTGAAAAATGGAAGAGGGAGAGGGAAAAACAAACTCGCAAGTTCGAATTGGCTGCAAGGTTACTTGAGTAAGCCCCTCGGCTGAATTCTAGCATCGCAGTAATAATACGTTTGCTGGTAAGCAAGACTCTGCTTGTTAAACTCGAGTCCTTACTCCGAAGTTAAATGTTGCTCCCCTGTCCAAGAGGGTGTTTTAGGGATACCTACACAGGGGAAAGTACTTGGCGTCTTCAGTGAGTGTGCACAGGATCCGAGCTGCAGAACACCCTCGCCCCCCCCGGTTTTCTTCTCAAAGTGTGTGTGTGTGTGTGCGTGTGTGTGTGTGTGCGTGCATGCCTGTGAAAACAGGGTGGAAAGGGGAAATAGTGCTTGGGTATATCTTTTAAAAATAACTTTATTAAGTTACCCACTCAATATTTCCGATGGAGGAAGAAAAGGACTGGCATTGGTATCCCACAGCTATAAATGCCCACAGTGGGGGGGGGGGAGGCGAGAGGGGGGCATAGAGGAAAAATGAACCCTCTAAAAGTTGCAACTTTGGACGGGGCGCGCGGGTGAGTGGTAAGAAGGGAGGGGAGCAGCTTGGGAACCTGGTCAATTCCCCCTGCGTCAGGGGCCTGTCGAGGTCTACGCTCTGATTGGCCGGCGGCTTCTCATTTATAGGCCGTCAATCAAATGGCCCGCAGAGAAAGGCTACAGCGGATAGGGCCGGAGAGCTTGGTGAGCTGGCAGCAGTTGGAGAAGAGAGCCGTCCGAAGAAAGAGCAGATCCGAAGAGGGGCTCGTTCCGCTGCCGGAGAAGTTAGTAGCCAGGGTCTCCGAGACTCTTTCTGAACTTAAAAGTCTTTTCCCCTGCCCTCCTCCTCTTTCTTCTTGTAAGTCTAATATATTTCTTTTCCCACCCGGCAGCCAAGCTGGCGCATCTCCTGCCTGCCCCAGCCATGTACAGCATACTAGAGAGCGAGTTGAAGGCGCCCCAGCCTAACCCCGGAGGAGGCTCGGCCGGGAACGGCGCTCCGGGAGGCAACGGCAAGGGTGGCGGCGGCGGAGGAGGAGGAGGAGGAGGAGGAGGAACCGGAGCCACGGACCAGGACCGGGTCAAGCGGCCGATGAACGCGTTCATGGTGTGGTCGCGGGGCCAGCGGCGCAAGATGGCTCAGGAAAACCCCAAGATGCACAACTCTGAGATCTCTAAGCGCCTGGGCGCGGACTGGAAGCTGCTGAGCGACGCAGAGAAGCGCCCCTTCATCGACGAGGCCAAGCGGCTCCGCGCAGTCCACATGAAGGAATACCCGGATTATAAATACCGGCCACGTCGGAAGACCAAGACGCTGCTCAAGAAGGACAAGTACTCTCTGCCGGGCAACCTGCTGGCCCCGGGAAGCGCCGGCGGAGGCGGCGTCAGCAGCCCCGTCGGGGTCGGGCAGCGCCTGGACTCCTACGCGCACATGAACGGCTGGCCCAACGGCGCCTACGCCTCGCTGATGCCCGAGCAACTGGGCTATAGCCAGCACCCGGCCATGAGCAACGCGCAGCTTCAGCCCATGCACCGCTACGATGTGAGCGGCCTCCAGTACAGCCCCATCATGTCCAGCGCTCAACCCTACATGAGCGCGGCAGCCTCCACTTACAGCATGTCTCCAGTTGCTGCGGCGGCGGCGGCTGCCGCTTACGGCCAGCAACCGTCGGGGCACTCGATGAGCTTGGGGACGATGGGTTCCGTGGTGAAATCTGAGCCCAGCTCGCCGCCACCGGCCATCACCTCGCACTCCCAGCGGGCCTGCCTGGGAGATTTGAGGGATATGATCAGCATGTACCTACCGCCCGGGGGCGACGCGGCCGACCCGTCGACACTGCAGGGCACCCGGCTACACAGCGTCCACCAGCACTACCCGAGCGCCGGGACTGCTGTCAACGGCACCGTGCCACTAACTCACATCTAGCCGTGTTCCCCTCGGATCGCCCTCTACCACCGCTTCCTCAAAACGCTGGCACCGAACGTCTCGCCTACGGTTTGGTAGCAGGAGAGGTGGTTTGAGGGCAGAGGGGGGTGTCGCTGGCTCTCCATCTTAACCAGCGAGTCTTTTGGACGCTTCTTCCCAAGGCAAATCCTATGCGGACGTCTCCCCAGGCATCTTGACTCTCGTTGTAGGTGGCTTCTCCCACTCTGAATTCCCACACCATTGAAGTTTATGGCTTTGGGGTGGGAGAGGCGCGGGAGAACTCCAAAGGAAGGTAAAGCGAACTTTACCCAACTAAACAACTCAAAGGAACTGTAGATGTCTGAATAAAACACAAAAGGGGAGTTGCACGTCTGCATAGAGCACAATTTTTTGCTCACCTTGGAAGAAGCCGCTGTGAAATATCAAACATACTTCCTTATAGATATACAAGTTTTTTCGGGGGGGGGGTTCTTAAAAAGTTTTTTTGGGGGGTGGGTGGGTTGGGAGAGCAACGTGGCCAACTGGCCTCGGTCTTAAATGTTTACATTTTGTCTTTTACTGTTCGGGGGCGAGTTGTTTTGTTTCTTTGCTCCCTTCCTCTTGCCTGGAGTTCTTTAAATCTGTCTGGAGTCTTTTAATTTTTAAGATATTTAAATATATGTAACCCCGGCCCCACCTTCCCGCTTTTAAATATATAGATAGATATATATATATATATACAAATTGCTATGTGGGTCCCCGGGTTGATTTCAGAACATCAGTTTTACTCGGAAGTTAAGCAAGTTTGTCTGTCCTTTTTTAGGCTCAAGTTTACTTTGGAGTAAATTTGCTTCGCGAGGGGGGGGGCGGGTAGAAATATCCTGTTTTGATGGGAGCCTTTGGGTTACCCGATTGCCAGCTGGCTGTGTGAAACTGGAAAAGAATTTCAAATTTATAAAATACTTTCTTTGCTGTTGCAAATAATGTGATTTTAATCTTTTGAGGGAAAATGAAAAGAATTCGCTGATAACGGGAGAGGAGGGGACGTTTTCTGGTTGTCTCCGTGGCGCTTGTAAATTTCTGTAAATTCCCCTGCATTTTCTGTTTTGTGGATTTAATCGTGGGATAGTTTGGCGAACAGAACATATCAACCCCACGAAACAGGTCATTTAGATTTTTTTAATATTTTATTTTGTTGTGTCCTCTGGTTTCTTTGAAGAGAACATGTCTCTCGCCCCCTCTCCCGTCCCTCTCCTTCCTCCCCTCAAAGAAAGAACTTTAAGAGAGATCAATAAATTTTATAACAGGCGCTTTGCATGTGTGTTTGGTATTTCTTGTTTAAAGCGGCGGAAAAGTTTCTGAAGCTGTCAGCTCTGCCTTGTTCGCGCTGGTACTACTCTGGAGTAAGTGTCTTTAACGGGTTACGGCTGGGCTAGGATTTGGGGGACAACCTACGTTGATCAGGCGCTCCCGTACCCCAGTGCATGCTTTAATTCCACAGTAAATCTGTCGGTGGAATCCGAAGTATATTTAATGCGGGGTTAAGTCACCACGGGATAATTTTTGCTTCATTAAAATTGTGCTTAGGATAGAGGGCTGCAAGTTTTGCTTGGGAATTTCAGTCCGACCCTATCCGTGAGATTGGAGCACCGCTCGGTTCAAAAGGATTTACTCCCAAGTAAGTGTGCGGTGGACAGCAGCCTTAACCAAGAAAACAGTTATTGCTCTTTATGCTTTATGGGGGATTAGGGAACTTTCTGCAGGGCTGTTGCAAAGTTACTGAGGCTAGAGGGCCGGCAGAAACGTCAGCAGTACCTTCAGGATGGTTCCGAGAGAAGCATAAATTGTATGGGATGGGGGCAAAGGCTGCGGTCCTAACCCACATTAGCGAGCCAGTCCAGTTGCGCACAGGCTGGAGAGTGAACCTTGGAAAGCATGGCGCTGCAAATCTGTGTCGAAAGCCCCCCCCCCCCCAATCTGGGTTTGTTATCATTCTGCTAGCAAACCCTAGAAATCCCATTAAAGTCTGTGGGACGTCGACCTTCCAAAGGACCTGAGACCGACGCAAGGCAGCAAAGCATCTGAAGTTGACGAAGGAGGTTTGAACTTTACGCATGGCGTTTTAATACTGACTTAAGTGTTTATTAATCAGGTTTAAAACGCTGCTTCCGCGTTGAACGTAAACACAAGGGGGGGGAGTTTCAACGAAGTAAAAACAAAAACAAAAAACTTCAACGTGGATGTTCGGAGCGGGCTGAAATCCTTGCGTCCAGCTCTTTCCTTAAGAGGCTTCTCCCCGCCGCCCTTATTTAAACCGCGCTTTTGACAGTTGTTCCTCGCTTCTTCCCAGGTTCATAATTAACATGCCAAAAAGACCTTAATTTGGTTTACATGTAAACGCCATTTAAAATTCTGCCCTCCTCACCTTTAAAAAAATAAAGTTCAGACATTACGCGGAGATTGCAGCAGCAACCTTAACGCAAAGTCTCTGTTAAAACCGGAGTGGTGAGAGCCTTTACTCTTGTGAGAACGCCGGGGAGCGGGCTGCGCTCGCCTCCTTTTTTTAACGTTCCTTGTGGAATCTTCAATTTACGTCTAACTTTTATTCAAAAACTTTTTTTTACAATTCCAGGATTTAATTATTTTTTCGGGCAGGGGGCGGATATCTTCGTAAAAGAACTCGGCCCCTGACATTAGTTCCTTAAGATGCTGGGTCTACAGAAGAGTAAATGGTTTTAAGCTTGATGCGTTGCCGTTCCATCCTTAGACTTATAATAATAATACTTCTGCTCATTACCGGAATTCTGATGGAGTCCAGCTTGGAGTCAGGAAGCGCATCGGGAAGTGACTGCTTTAAAAGTAGACGGCGCCGAGAATTAGGCGCACACTGGCCTTTTTTACATATAGATACCGATCCCTTTTGCCTGTTCGCTTGGTAGTAAATGCGCAGAGGCTTGCTTTTCCCAGTTGCGACTACGATCGCAGCATTCATCTGTGACCATAAATACAGCTGATTTGGCATTAAATCTTATTGACCTGTTTTCACATTAAACAGGCAGGAGGGGATCGGGGTCTTTTTGCAGCGATCCTTCTTCGGGAGAGCAAAGTCCCTCTCATTTCGGTCAGGCTTGCTCCCAAGGAAGTGTATTTAGGATCGCTTTTTCAAAGTTTTGTGCTGGGGAGGGGAGCGCGCGAGGAAGAACTGAAGTTCGGCAATTTTCCAATTTGGACACGAGAAAGCCGATAGAATGTTATGCTGAGGTCTTTCTCCCCACATTCCCCTAAGAACGTTCTCTTCTGACACTTGTTGCTTCCTACAACCGATTCTTTCCCCTGCCAGCGCGCGCGCGCTCAACTTCCCCGAGGAAACTGCGCCCTCTGGATCCTCTTCATTCTCTCTCCCCCGATTCTTCCTCTTAAACCCAGGAGTAATCTGAGAGAGAGCCTTGTTCAAGGGCGGAAAAACCGTGTCTTGCTCTGAAATATTTACAAATGTGTGAATCCGGTTGGAGGAACCTTAATTAGACTCTATTAAAAATGAATTAGGGGATAGGACGCCTGCAAGCTCTAAATAATTGAACCTCTTTAATTGTGTTTGCAAATCATCGTATTTCATTGGTTTAGTTTGTTTTAGGTACTTTGAGCTTTTAAACATGTTGCATTAAAAAAACAAAAACCCCAACACATCTTGAGAATCAAGTCTCTCTTTCTAAGATGTAATAATAATTTTGCAAATGACTGCTTTTAAAATCCGGTCTCAACCTGCACCTTACTTCCCTTCCGCCTGCTCCCCGCCCGCCCCCCCCCGCTGCTTATGTGGTACCATCCGTTCACATGTAGATTAATTTCAACTAGGAGATAGGGGAAAAATGGATGGGTCCCTGCCCCGAAACAGGTTACACTTAAAATCAATCGGTGGGAAAGAGGGAAAGGAATTGTCTCTGTAACTACGTTTTCTTTTTCTTTTTCTAAATTACTCAATTTATTATCAGTTTGAGGTCCGGATTAGTAGTACAATACAAAGGTTGGGACTACCCCCACCTCCCCAAGAAGACGAATTTCTCTTTCCAACAAGCGATTACTTTGGTTGAATCCGTTTGTTCTCTTGACCGGCTAAACCTCAGCACCTGTTCGGATAGGCCGGGTGTAATACTATTTAGCTTTGAAACTTTAGCATTCGGTTCATTCCATAAAATGGGTTTAAAATTATCTTGGTTATGATTCGTTTTGATAGATCTTTATTACTCTCTCTCGGAGTAATAAGATTTTGACGGGAACAGGAAATCCCACGGGGTTCATAAGGGGTTTAGGGTCAGTTTGCACACTGCGCATTTTTAACCAGGAGGGAAGTTCTGCTAACTTGCAAACAAACATGATTTCCATAGGTATTCATCTCTTATTTTTTTAGGGAAGGGAAAGAACCCTTCTTAACAGGCATGGCAATGTATATCTGGCTCTTTCGTTAATTTGGCTTTTTAAAAAATAAAATAAAATCGATCAGCCATCCTGCATGCTTTTAGACCAACCATTACCTGCATTGTAGGGGGTCGGGATAGACGTCCTTCAGGGGTCCCTTCCAAGTCGACAATTCTATCCTTTACTCTGCCTCTCTCCACGTATCAATCTGGGGCTATGCGCTTTATGCTTCTAATGAAGGGTCCCTAAAGGGTTACGCCGAAATGAATGTGTGTTATAAAAGTCTTTATGGTGCCTCTATCCTCTGCCTTACTTTTGGACCAAGTTTCCTGATGGGGGGGGGCTTTTCTATTGCACCTGTAATTAGTGGGATATATAACACTTGGATGCTGGGGGCGGAGCGGAGAAGAGACACTGGATTTGGTTCTGTTGCTTTCTTTCCATCATGTCCCCTGGCTTCCACATTTAAAGGAATTGGCTTTGCACTCCGAATTCTGCTACCTGCAAAACCTGTAAAATTAGCTGAAGCGTGGTCTCGTTTAAAAGCAGCAAGAGACCCTTTACCCGAAAACAGTCAGAAAGAGAGATGTTTAATTTTTGTTTAA